CCATAACACTGTAGTTGGAGTTGTTTGTTTGCCCGCTCTGTCTTTTGGAGGAGGAGAAACAGACTCCAAGGAATGACATTTCCTGCAAATAAACATGACAATAAATACACAAATTGTAATAAAGGGTAAGATAAAAAATCCAGGTGAACAGGAATATTTATTAATTCCAAGTGTAGTGAGTTCACAGTATAAACAGGCTCTATTGCTTTTTTCTAGATTAAATACAGTGCAACTTCCCCTATAAACTGAATACAGTGTATTTTTAAATTTGGGCTAAATTTTCTCTCAAAAAGCTGTCTGCTGGAGGAGAACACAGGTTCAGAGAGTCTGAATCCTTTGGGAATTACTTCTGCCTCTGTTCTGGACCCTTCTGGAGTCTTCACCTGTCCCTCTATGTACAGGCAGGATACCAACCACATTTATGTATCACTTTTCAGCCATCTCTTCCAACATCCCATACAAAACCACAAGGCACTGCTACCTAGGTTAACTGCAATTGCATTTTTGCATCCAAAAACCCCTACTAACATAAAATGAAATAAATTAAATTTAGAATAACTTGAGTTTAAGCAGTGCACCAAATCTACAACCCTGACAATGTTAAGTGAAAAATGTTCCTTTAAAGGCCAAGTAACTCTTTCGTCAAAAAATATCACCCCCAAACATAACATGATGTCAATTTTTATTTATCTGAACATTTACTTTGCTGCCCCTCCCTCCCAATCTTGGCCAAGTTCCAAGAATAAACTCTGTTTGAATTTATTCTACATCACCTTTCTCCACATTTTGGCATAAGTCACTCCTGTCCCTCAGACACTGCTAAAGCAAATTCCTATGCTTTAATTCTAGATCAGACAAAGTTAAAACATCTATTTTGAGATTCCCTGTCCTCTAAACATGCAAAAATTGCGAGTCTGAATTTCACTCAGATAATTCTACCATCTCCTGATTGCAGAGAGAATGCCAACTATTAATTTTTAGAGCACTTTTCCCAACTAAAGCTTTTAAAGACACTAGGCCACTTACAAACAGCTCTATTTAATCAAGTGTTATTTAAAAATTACTATAACATACCCATGTGCCTTTTCCACACTGTTTTTAATTTGGGCAGGAAGATGGTCTGTGTGTGTTATTAAAATTAAATAAATGTGGTTTTTTTTCCCCCAAGACAGTTTAGCTGAGTAATTCAGAAGGAAGCCACCACACAGTTATGCCAGTTCGTGAAAGCTTTTTGCCATTTCATTCATTTATTCTAGCTCTCATGTCAGTTCCATTGTTCCATAACAGTTAAGGTTTTACAGCCTTAAAATAATAAATGCATTTTCTTTTCACATTTTACA